TTTTGACCGTATCACCCTTTAATTTTCCTTCCTATCCCTTGCGATTGTAAGCATGTGGCCAGGTGTATAATGCGATACTTTATTTGTAGATATTAATGTGTGAGAAAAACCACTGTTCCCAAGTGTTTTTTTTTTTTCACGGCAATACACGATATTTTCTACAAAATGTATTGGTTGACCATTACATAGCCCCTAACGATTTGTGCAATCGCTTATGCTATGCTATGCTATGCTATGCTATACTATGCTTTATTGAACACATTTTTTTAAAAGTGAAATTTCATTTCTTAGCTATGTTTCGAAAACTTTCCTACTGAGATTTTTTAAACTACATTTTTGGATTCATCGCACGATTTTACATGGGAAATGACCATCAGTATTATTTAAACATAGTTTTCAACTTTCGAAGGATAACCTTAGAAAACTGCATGGTTATATATAAATATCTGCATTTGTACAAATGACACAATGGAAACTCATTTACAGAGGCAGCTTTTGGTTAAAAATCAAAAACAAAATTCATATTCAGTAGCAAATGCTCTTTGAACTCTTCTGCCAAGGCAGAAGATCGCTTATCTTAGAAAACCGTTTACCATAACGAGTAATTCCCATCATCATATTTGATTAACTAATCAGTGAATCGTTTCGCCACATTTTGTTTCAACAAGCGCTCCCTCTCAGCCGGGGCTCCATTTAAAACAGATTTAATCGCAAATGTTGTATCATCAGTTGACCGTTTACCTCCACTGGGGTCCCAATTCCATTCTTCATCATTATGGCTTCGTTCACACCCGTAAACTTGTGATGGATTAGCCGTAACAATCGTTGTCGTACTGCGCAGCCGGATGTCTCATTTTCGCTTTTTGATTTTTTGTGGATTATAATTGTCGTGGGATTTGGACAGAGTGCTTCCAAGGTCAATGTCAATGTTCCTGGAAATGTCGTGTAATGAGCTCTAAACCGTGCAATTCAGAGTACCTCATCGCTGCTGCTGCACTTCGTAAAGCTGCGAGAATGTTTTCGCACCGAAACACAATGGGAGCTGCTGCTAATGCTATAGGTAAATCACCCGCCTTAGCCGACCGATTGATCATTGAGGCAGTGCGAAGACGCTACACGACATGCCAGACAATCTATGAATTAAGATCGCAACTTGTACGAATGCAATGAACAACTGCAGCAATGACAGCCTGGTCGTCGTCGATCGTCGGTGCGGCAGTCGACAATTGACCATAAATTTTCCCGCCAGATGCTCACGCGTGGCCCCCCGGAGGGGCAAGAGGAAAACCTACAGTGTAGGTGCTTGTTGCATATGACCTTGGCAATGGGTGGAAGGAAAATGGAGTCGGATTGCTTTGAAGATCAAATAGTGATTTATTCGTCGCATGAAGATGGCTTCTGAAAATCACGCAACTTCCTTCCGCTCCGAGAGGTGACATTGTATGGTTTCAGAATCGGTGGAATACACTTGGCTCTAGGTGACAACTTGGAAGAGGGTTGATGTTGGCATTTGGCGAACGAACATGCGACTTGTTCAGTGGCGAGTTGAATGTCATTAGCAGGTACAAATTTGCTACATTTTGCGTCATAGACAAATGACAATCAACGGAGGATTGTACTGTCAATCAACCTTCGTCTGGAATCTTCGTACAAGGTTAGGTCACTCCTGAATTGTCGGAGCTTGACCGTGACGCAGACTATTGCGTCGTTTAAAATTGTATGCTTGCAATATAGAATAGTGATTCCAAATACTCGCAAAGTTGGATATATTCCATGGAACCACTTCGTGTATATGATCCCTGGTTGTATAAAATCATAGGTGATTGATAGTTAAATAAATTCTTCAGTAATATCATTAAATTGTTTTGTAAAGTACGCTGACAATATACACACTGAGATTATTTTACCGAAATCTGCGAAATTTTACCGAAATCTCAACAGCTGAACGTTCGGTAAACAGTTCGGTGATTTTTCACAGATTTCACCGAATATCTGTGAAAAATCACAGAAAATCTGTGAAAAATCACCGAACTGTTTACCGAACGTTCAGCTGTTGAGAATTCGGTAAAATTTTACAGCTTTCGGTAAAATAATCTAAGTGTGTATGAAAGGATAAGTTTTTAGTAAACTTAAACAGATCAATAGATCTTTAAATCTGACTATATGTTTTTAGTATTACTTCTACGTGAAGTCAACGATTTACATAGTTGAAGATGCTAATTTCAAATAACAGACTGTAGTGGTAATTTTTATACGATAGATGGAGTAGATGAAAGCATAGAGTTGATAGTTCCGTTAGAGTACGGCAGTGTGAAGATTGTATATAGATATTAGACAAGCGAGCTAAGACAACTTTTAAGGAAGGTACAAATCGGTTTTTTCATCTCTCTTTACCAAACTCCCCCTTTGGAGAGGGATGGTGAGGGGTGTCTCCCCCCGCCACCACTGGCAAAAAGAGATGAAAACCGACCCGCTCAAGTACCAACTGTGTGTTTGAAACAGTTCTACCGATTTTTTACCGGCACTTCAGTTGTTATTTGAAGGAAGGCATCAGTCGTAGGTTTGGAAATTGCAACTATTGTTTACCCCTACCACGATATGTGCTCCTGTCATCGTCGACTTGACGATCTCGAGGGGACACGGGTGGGGTAGGTGCTGCTACTGTACCTTTCGACCATTGACAGTAATATCTGGATGGGAGCATACCATCAATTACTGACAATGGTCGAAAGGTACAGTAGCAGCACCTACCCCACCCGTGTCCCCTCGAGATCGTCAAGTCGACGATGACAGGAGCACATATTAGTTTCGTGGTAGGGGTAAACAATAGTTGCAATTTCCAAACCTACGACTGGATGCCTTCCTTCAAATAACAACTGAATTGCGGAAAAAAAATCGGTAGAACTGTTTCAAACACACAGTTGGTACTTGAGCGGGTCGGTTTTCATCTCTTTTTGCCAGTGGTGGCGGGGGGAGACACCCCTCACCATCCCTCTCCAAAGGGGGAGTTTGGTAAAGAGAGATGAAAAAACCGATTTGTACCTTCCTTAAAAGTTGTCCTAGCTCGCTTGTCTAATATCTATATACAATCTTCACACTGCCGTACTCTAACGGAACTATCAACTCTATGCTTTCATCTACTCCATCTATCGTATAAAAATTACCACTACAGTCTGTTATTTGAAATTAGCATCTTCAACTATCTTTAAATCTGTTAGTTTCATGGTTTACTCTATATAAGATATTCTGGAGCTCATATCTGAAAGTCAACTTAATCAGCGGAGGATACAAGATGTTCTCACAATCTAAAGATATCAAACTAGGCTCATAAGTTTTTAATTAGACACCCCAGTAGTAATTCTTTCTCCCTGCTTTATTGGCTATCTGCTTACATCAGGTTATCTGTCAAATTTACCGTAAAGTATCACAACCGGATCAATTGTGCGTGGCACTTAAGATGAGTTTACGTTTTTCAATGATTGAGCTCCCAACTACCTTAGTAAGTTTTTAAAGTCACTCCTGCCTACAGTGAAGATATTGTTGAGCAAAGATTAGATCACAGCTGACGGTCCTTCTGTATGAAGAAGGTGGCGTTTAAGCTATCAACTGTAAGTGAAAGGTGCTATCGTAACAATTTTAAGATCATTTTTGGCTTGATTTGACTTGAATACTACTATGGCGGGTTTCAAATCATTATGATGTCATTCTGAGACTATATCTGTCACGAGTTTAAGGGATTTCTGATGGTTGGTTTGTTTTGAGAACCACTGTTCTAAGTGGTTCTCGAAAAGAATTTTAAGAGTTTCGTATGTTCAGGACAGTTATAATGGAATTTTATGAAGAACTACACAAGAATTCTTAGTAGAGTTTCAAGCGAATTCTTTAGACAATTCTAAGGATATTCCATAGAGAGTTTGAATCGGATTCAAAGGAGAATTACAGTGATACGTTGAAGAGAGTTTCAACAAATTTCTAAGGCTTTTACAACAGAATGCTGAGTAGAAAATCATAGGAAATTTCAGGGATTTAGAGGAGAAATCCACGGTAATTCTGAGAAGTATTTTAAGATTGTATAGTTTTCAATTAATTTACACTGATTTTTTTAAAGTTGCTTGTAATTTGGTTGCAAATAAAGACCACACAAGCAATAACTGAAAAATCTCGTAGAAATATGATTGTACTTTGGAGACTCTGATGAATATTCTATTGCAGTTTATAGATAATTAAGAATAACGGAGAAATATCAAGCGAACTCTTGTTAAAACTTCACAGCATGCTAGGGCAATTGAATTTCAATGCATTTTTGTAAAGAAATCAGTGACATGGCATTCGCGACAATCCTAAGATCCTGAATAGCACTTTGAGGACGTTTAAGGATGATTTAAGGATTTTTTTTTTTAATTAATGGCATCCTATGAAGAATAGCAAATGAATAAAAGCTGAGACCTGTGAAGAATTATTCTGCATCTTGCTTTACCTAAGATGGGCAAGGAAGGTATTTATTCAAAAATAACTATTTGTTAATTCTATTCAATAATAGCTATCTCCTTACATAAAGTATTGAGCCTTCAAAACGTGTTAGATCATCCCAGGCCCCATTCGATTGGACGTATGTGCAATTTTGCTGGATCTTGTCAATCACGGAGTAGCAACTACGGTACGGTCATCCAAACGCAAGCCCAATAATAGTTATCTCCTCCAATTATATACGACCGAAAATAAAATTCCAAATCAATCTCACGCATTCAAATATTCTTGATCGTAGGTTCCTCCACGTTCCTTTAATTCTATCACCCCATCAAATCTCAACCATATAAATCGCAATTGGCCACAAAGACGCAACAACTGCTCACTGAGCGAGGCAGAAGAATTAATTCTCCACATTATTGCATTCTTCCAACTTCACTCTGCCCCACCTCTAGGATGAGATGGGGGGGGGGGGGACTGGGATGAGATGTTGTTTGATATCGCACAATAACGACGCTGGGAGCCAAAGACACGGTAGGTTAAAGCTACTACTTATCCGATTCTCCACGGCGATGAAGGCGATGACGACTGCGGCTACCGAGACATGCGAATCAATTTAGCTGATTTTGGATCTCCACCGAGCGGTCAGTCAGAGTTCGTCGCTTGACGCGACTAGATATCGTTTGTTCGATACTTTGGAACGGTTTGGGTAATTTTGAAATTGAAATCCAACATCATGAAGATGTTTCCGGCAGTTGTGATTTTGGTCGCGATGTTAGTTATGAGTAGCGAGGCTGTGAAACCCACATCGAATGTTGATTTTACGGACGTAGAAGATTCAGCCGATGGCACCGGGTTTGTGAATGTGTATCGGAACTATCCGAAGATTCAGGTGACGGTTGATACATCCAAGTTGAAACGTGTTTCGCAACCGGAAAGTGAAGATAGTAGTTCGGGAAGTTCGGGCAGTTCCGGATCGGAATCGGTTGAACGGCCAACGGTGGGAGTGCGTACCGATATAACCATCGAGATATCGGAAGAATCGCTTAACGAAACTAATACGGTGGATGGAAAAAAGGATTCCGGGAAAAGGAACGGATCCAGCGGGAAGAAGGACGGAAAAGGTGTTGATGATGATGACGATGACAATGCCAGTGTACCAGTGTTCAAGGGAACGGCTGGAGTGCCTACAAAGGGAAAAACTCCAAAGCCTACTTCGCCGAACGATGTTAATGGAAAAAGACCGGGAGTTACGATGAGTAGCAGGCCGACTACGTTTGTATACAAAAATGATGACCGTAGGCCAGCTGGTCCCTATGATGGATGGAATCGGTTCCAGCCGGTGACGGGGCTGTGGACTACGGAACGGCCCTATAATCGACGGGTTGAATATGACTATCATGGTAAGATTGGTTTATTGTTCTTCCAACAGCTTAATATATGTTAGAAAGGATGCTTCTAATTCGATTGAGAGAAGCCGTTTGTAATATCCATATACATTTAGTGAATTAAAAGTGAATTCAGTGAAAATTCAATAAAGTAATTTCATCTAGTCAAGGAGAATGTAAAGATTTAAAATAATGTGAGCTTGCAATCTATCAAATTATCTAACTCCATGTTCAGCCAAGGGAATTATAACGTGTTATAAGTGGTGTCCGTGTTGCAAATACACTGTGCAACAAACTTGAACTTTTTTTCCTTGGACATTTTTTTCATCATAATTGACTTTCTTGTGGTCCCCTGAGTTGCAGTGTAGAATATACTTATGCCCTAACACGTTAAACTTTTTAGGTGCCGCTCTCTACATGAATTGCGGTATGATTCTCGATTTTGGAAATCTACTGTCAACCTAAGCATGTGACATTATTGTTATGCAAGGAAATCAATTATGATCTAGTGTAACACAATGTTTCACGTTGTTTAGGTTAACAACAAAAACTACTAAGCCATCACAAATTATAGCAAAACATGACTTTAAATTTGTTAGTTTAGCATTATGCGACTGTGTAATCCACAGTGTCAAAAGATAAGCAATTATAACGGAATTAAAAGGAAATAAATCAACAAATTCGAAAAGCTCTTCATAAAGGGATTCCGTTAAGAGGTTGGACAAATTTTTTTTTGATGATGCTTTCAGAACCTAAAACGTACATATCACTGAAGTTTTCCATCGTAGGATTAAGTGAAGACATAGCGTTTCTTGAGAAATGCCGAAAATTAAATCTAACACAATTATAACTATTTTCCGATTTTCTCAGCTTAGAATGGGCTGTTCATAAGCTACGTAGTCATTTATTTTGAAGTTTTTAAACCCCAATTTAAAAATTAATAAATTTATTCCGAACTTGTACAGACTTAGTTCTGTTAACCCTATATCATGATAGAAAATAAAATTTGTCAATTTAATTGATTCTTTGAGGATAACGGCCACTTAAATTTTTACCACTTTTTCCAGCAATTCAAAAACCCAGTAAAAAATACTGACTCTTGTAAAATAATCTAAGTGTGAAGGTTTTATTCGAAAACATCAATTCTAGATTTCATTCATCATAAGAAACGCATTCAGACAATTGTGTTACGGGTACTAATTTTGGAAATTTGTATCGACAATACTGCCGGTACTCGCATATTAGTCCCATTTGGAAATTCGTCATATGGAGAAAATGGCGTTTTAGTTCATTGTTCATAGTTTATAACAAAATTCACTTATTTCTATCTCTAGTAGGTGTTGGACCAAATCAGGGGAGGAGCTTGGGGTGGGGTTTCGTTGCCTCATCAGAGTATTGGCGCCAGTACGAACGGTAGTGCGGTTCTAGATTCGTCTGGAGTTCGACCGGCTGACCGGTTATCAGTGAGCACCGATGAGACTCATCGAGACGGGGGGACAAAACAAACTAAAAACTAATAAAAAGAGACAAAAGACAAAGCAATTAAATTCTTGCACTAGATATTTGCAGAAACACATAAATTGACTGCATATAGCAGAGATCGCGGGTTCCCAACACGTCTCTGATAAGGATATAGGGTTGTCTTAATTTCAAAAGTCGCTCTTTGACGTCGTCATTATCCATAGATATTTTTATAATTAGCTGCTGTTCAGTTTCATCTAGTCATAATATCCAGTACTTATGGTCAAAATAGTTTTAATGCAACATAAGTTTAACTTAACTTGTAACTGGTAACTTGAATACAATCATAGCAGTGGTCTTCATAGTGATATGTGCAACGAAATCAGATAGGACTCTTTTTTTTTCGTGGGTTCCAGTTTACCTATCAGTCCTCTTAAGCTTATCAATAGTCACTCACTCATTAATATATCCTACGCAATCAATACTGATCAAAGATGACAGTTAGCTAATATGTATTTACTTCTTATTTGGTTTTTTCCCCACTGGGACTTTACGCCGGCTCTCAAATTGGTGTCTTTGAGTATTTTCACAGTTGTTGAGAGCCTGTACCATTTTTACATTAGTAAATATTGTGTGGCAAGAACAATCATCCCAGACCGAGAATTGAACCCAGCCGCCTCCAGCATGGTCTGCGCCTTTACCGACTGAGCTAAGGGAGTTAGCTTTCTGTATTAACTGGTTCGCCTCAATGAGCTAAAGGAACCCTATGTCACAGATGCTGAATAATAAGACTGATACAGTTGATCCATAATTTCTTTTTGAGCTAACTTCTCTGTAGTTATCCCGTTAGTCTTTTCAAGATCCCTGAAATAAACACTAAGGTATTCAAATTTAACAAAAAAGCTACTTAGCATAATCCATAAGACCTTTGAAGTTGAATCAGAAGAGACATTTCTATTTGCTGGAGTCGGGGACAACTGTAAAGGTTTAAACTGCATCAGATTTGGATTCAGTGAGAGAAAAAACACTCTCAATTATTAAAAAACCACAGTTTCTTAGAGCTGAGTGATCGTGGTTCATAGAAAATTATTATACAACTGAGCAAAAACAAACCCTGTGTCAATTCAGTTGATAATTCCATCACCACGCGGCGCTAAGTTGCCGTTTGACATCTAGTTGCTTGTTGAAATCGACTGCTCGAATAGATAATATAGCTGATTAACAAAGTTAATCAGATAGACCAGACCTATACATTTAAAAACATAGCGTAAATTTCCGTTACTAAAGGGCGAACACGAAATTATTGCGACACATTCAACAAGGCATAACTTTTTTACCATTCGGTAAAAATCAACCAAATTTTGCACACTTTCTCATTGATGTGTATTGTGTACATGCTGTCAAACTCGAAGTCGTGTTTTTCGATTCAACGAAAATGGAGGTGAACCAACGCGAGTTGAGAGAACAAATTCATTCCAAACACCTGGAATTTCCTGACCTGTCGCACCGGCAGTTGGGAAAAATGTGAAACATTCACCATTCAACCGTCTCCAGAGTGTTGAAGCGGTTGACGTTGGACCACGGCAAAGGAGCTGGAAGAAAACCAGGACCGGAGAACAAAAAGACGGAGGGAAAGGTGCAGCGGATGATTAAAGCAAATCCCAACGTCTCAAGCCGTCATTTGGCTAAAAAGATCGGCATGTCGCAGAGCTACGTCCAGAATGCAAAGAAGAGAGCTGGACTACATACATACAAGGTACAGAACTTCCCAATCCGCGATGAGCGGCAACAATCGACGGCTAAAACTCGGACACGGAAGCTCTACGAGAAGATGCTGACAAAATATGGCTGCTGTGTGATGGACGCCGAAACGTATATAAAAGCCGATTTTAAGCAAATTCCGGGGTTGGAGTTTTTCACCGGCAAGAGCAAGTTCGATGTGGACGACAAATTTAAGAAGAAGAAAATGTCGAAGTTCGCCTCCAAATATCTCATTTGGCAGGCCATCTGCTCTTGCGGACTGAGGAGTGAGCCTTTCGTGACAAAGGGCACAGTAAATGGCGAGATCTACAAATCTGAGTGCCTCGAGAAGCGCCTTTTGCCGTTCTTGCAGCAGCACGACGAAGCTCCGCTATTTTGGCCAGATTTGGCATCATGCCACTATTCTAAAAGTGTCCTGGAGTGGTATGAGGCCAATTCTGTCCATTTTGTTCCAAAGGACATGAATCCGCCAAACTGTCCGGAGCTGCGCCTGGTGGAGCAGTACTGGGCTATAATGAAGCGGGAACTTCGGAAGAGCAAGAAGACAGTCAAAGACGAGAAGGACATGTTAAGAAAATGGAAAAAAAAAACTGAGAAACTGGTACCTGATGACACTGTAAAGACTTTGATGGAGGGCATCAAGCGAAAATGCGTTCAATTTTACACTCAAGGCTCCATCGATTAACTTTTCTTTTGATTTTTTAAGTAAATATATGTATAAAACTACCCTAAAATATTGGTTTGATTCTAAACATTATAAGAAAATTGGCATGACATTTTCGGTGTCGCAATAATTTCGTGTTCGCCCTTTACACGGAGAACAAATTATAGCTGACGCAATTATTTTTCCGGTCAAAATAACTATATTGTTTAATTGTTTTAGAGATAACCCGAAACTATAGTTGCTTTGACTATATATAGAGGGCAACAACTATAGGCCATAGTTGGCTCCTCGGTTGGCTCAACTATATTTTTCAGTAGATGAACAAACGTCAAACTTCAAAATACAACTATGCTTTAGTTGATTCAAGAAAACTATTGTTAGGGAAGCAAAATTTTACAATGTTTATTAAACGAACTGCTCTTCATTATCAACATATTAAGGAAGTTTGTTTTGCTTCTTTATCGATCTTAAAAACACAACTGCAAAATTATAAAAAAAGGTGAACAAGAACATTCAACTAAGATTTGAACCGTGTTCATTTGAGTCAGAGCCAGCTATCTTATCGCCTGCTCTACGCATCACAAGTTAAAAGTATGTGGATTTATGATGATCAGGTGAAACCAAATTATATAACTAAATTAGATTTGACGGTTGTTATAATTGATCAAAGTTATAGTTGAATTGAGTATAAGATGAACAGTTGAATCTATTAGGTACACAGCAAAAAAATAATTTTGATATCACGTCAAAGTGGATGCACTACAATCATGTCGAAAATATGGTGTAATATTACTTGCTAAAAAGGACAAAATTTTCATTAATACAATGCATGAACTGACATTACGCTGCTTTTACTGCATTTGTTTATTTATGTGGTCATAAAAATTACATGAAATTTTCGACATGATTGTAGTGCATCCACTTTGATGTGATATCAAAATTATTTTTTTGCTGTGTAGATATGATTGACTTGAAGGTCAAATTAATGTTGGAATAACTATAGGATTCTTTCAAAAAACAATATTTTTCCATGTGAAAGTAACTATTAGGATTGTTATCTTAACTTAACGAATTTGTTCTCCGTATATGATGCACATAATTGAGCGTCATATATCATACAAGTTTACATAATAGATGGTGTGAATTTATGAGACATGTCATGTAATATTCCATATATTGTATGCAACTGTCCCTCTTTGCAAGAAACATTTCATGAAAGTTACTAGTTTACGTGAAAAGGAAGTTTACATGCATGAATGTTTGCATGCATAGATGTTTACATTTATATTCTGATTTTTTTTCTGTGTATTTAACCCTTTTTCTGTACCTCTATACATGGCTGGCAAATGTCATTCTCAATGAAAAATCTCACGTGATAATTACAGAGATACTTTTGTCACTATCATCGGATGATAAAACGATGATACAGGTTTTTTCAAAATCTCATCGATTTTTTTTTGTCTTGACAGAACGTGAGAGTGTTGTGATCATCGTAATATCTAGCTCATTTATTGCTATTAAAGTTACTTGTACCGAAAAAATCTTAATAATATATTCACTCTACCGATTAGTTACATACGGTTGCTTGCTTAAATTAATCTAAATCAGAGTTGGTTGGAAATGCTAACATGAAGCTTTAGTGTGATGATTTATTAGCTAGAGAATGATCTTTAGAAGAGGGTAGGTGGTTAGTTCCGTTAGAGTACGGCAGTATGAAAATTGAATAGAAGTTGAAAATGAGCGAAGGGCCATTAATGCGACAGTTTTTAGAGATAGACGCACATTTTTGCCTAACCCGTACGATGTACGCGGGGACTTGAAGTATGTCTCCAAGTCCGCAGGCAAAAATGTGCGTCCCTCTTTTTGCTCATAAACTGACTGCGGCTGTGGAATAGTTCTAGCGACGTTTTCATCACTACCTAAAGTCCCACGTTGCGAGAGCATTTCCAGTCGATGGTGTGTTATAATGCAGTTCTTCTTTACCCAACTATTGTGTTGCTCCTCTCGTCATGACCAACGTGATCATCTCAAAGAGAAAGCAGTAGGGTGGTAGTTTCGTGCTGTACCATCATCAGCATTGTTGACGGCTACTCCCGCCTTGAGTTGTTACATTCAAAGTGTTTTTATGTTACTTCATACGCGAAGTTAACGATTTTCTGAGTTGGTTGGAAATGCTAACATGAAGCTTTAGTGTGATGATTTATTAGCTAGAGAATGATCTTTAGAAGAGGGTAGGTGGATAGTTCCGTTAGAGTACGGCAGTATGAAAATTGAATAGAAGTTGGCCCTTCGCTCATTTTCAACTTCTATTCAATTTTCATACTGCCGTACTCTAACGGAACTATCCACCTACCCTCTTCTAAAGATCATTCTCTAGCTAATAAATCATCACACTAAAGCTTCATGTTAGCATTTCCAACCAACTCTGAAAATCGTTAACTTCGCGTATGAAGTAACATAAAAACACTTTGAATGTAATCTAAATCAGTTAGAAATGTTGATGTCAAAACCGCATAAGAATTATTCTCATGAGTGCTTGATCATTGGAAAATGACAAGAATGCTCGTGATAGGTAGTCTCGTCTTGTGATAGTGAGAGAACCTATTTTCTCATTGTCACACTTCGACCGTGATATTAACCAGCTCTGCTTCTATAATAAAGTTATGTTCATTGCGAAAATCCTTCAAAACGGGTAATCGAATAAAATTCGAAATATGTCTCAACTAAGAGGCAGGCATACCAAGAAGACTTTAGTATGCAAAAATGTCAGAGAAAATATCCTTTGATGAATAACCAAGATTGAAAAAAAAAAATGTCATCAGTGAAATCAGTATTCATTCACCAAGTGGGGCTAGTGAAATATTTAACATCTAGCTGGTTGCATTAACTTAAAACTCGATTAGATAGATGATATAGAACTCAGTGGGAAACACGTTCTTCGGGGGATAGCTGTACAGTAAACTGATGCAAAATTTGAAATTTCCGCTCCACAGTGCTCAACCGGTTCCAAATTGGGCCCTGATTAGCCTCCCAAAATTTGAACTCATTAGTGCGAAACTGACTTGCCACAAACCATTTGAAGTTTATATGGGAATTACTATGAAGAAACCATAATTTCGGTTCATATTTATCTCATAATTTACCAGTTCACTCTACTTTAGAAAATGATAACTGAGCTTGTTGAAAATTTTCTCAGCTACAACTTTGTCGAAGATCACTTTTCGATCAAATGTAAGGAACAAAAATTATTAATCATTCACTGATGTCTTATGATTATGCTCAATCAACTGTTCAGCAGGCAACATTGGTGTTTATGGCGCGTAGAATAGAGAACAAAAATCATGGCTACTATGTTACACTGCAGAATACAGTGTTGCCCACAGAACAGCTGCTTGATCATGCCATAAGATTATCAATCTCTTAAACAATTAATAACTATTTAATTTGACGTTTGGCTGAAAACGATTTTCTGCAAAGTTATAGCTGATAAAAATTCCCTTAAGAATAGAATTTGTTGACAGTACAATATGTTAAAAGGCTAGAAGACAATGAACACAAAGTTTTGTAATCCCATAGTAATTTCCATATAAACTTCAAATTGTTTGTGCCAAGTCAGTTTCTTATCAAATGAGTTTAAACTTTCGGAGGCTAATCAGGACCCGATTTGAAACCGTTTGAACACAGTGGAGCGAAAATTTCAAATTTTGCATCAGTCTACTGTACAGGGTGATTCGGAATAATTGTCGCTTTTAAAAATGGTCACAACGATTGAACGCTCGAATGATTTTTTACATTATTTTATTACAGATATACTCCATATACTACCTTGAACTTAGCATACTTTAATTCAAATCTCTCTCCTTTTACCTTTAATTACGAGCCACATTTGTCAGGAAAATGAACCACAGCTGGCACGCACGTCACTTTTGGAGTCCTGGCAATGCGTCTATGCTCTAATATTGAACGGATTTTCCACTCATGGTTCCTATTTACCTCTATAATGGTGCGAAAAATAAATGTTTCATTCTTTCGAAGAGATTTCAGTTTCTAAAAGATAATGCACGAACTTATACAGATTTATGAAATGCTCCATGTTCACGTCTATGGATGCATGAAATTTAAAACGAATGAGATTTCAAATGCAACTATCAATACAAGCTGATATATGTGCACACTTTAAAACATTATTTATACCCATTTCACTCATTGAGAATAGCGATTTGTGAAATCGGTGACAGTTATTCTGAATCACCCTGTATATACTTTTGTCCGCGGAGTGAAAAGCCAGGTCGAAAAAAAGTATATAACCTTGAAATTTTGAAAATGGCGAAACAAATACAAACTGATTAAAAATTTTTGCACTAAACGAATTTTAGTGAAACATAACGCACATGCAATAACTATGTCTTGAATACCAACAAGACAGCATACTTGGTGCATTGTACTCCAGGAAAATCATTTTTTTTAATAAGGGTCATTCCAGCGGGTACAGAATTTAAAAAAGTTGTGGTCGGTTTCACCGATTTGAGCCAAACTTGGCTCTGAACAAATGCCTTTTTTGATTTTGCTCTGAAGTGCCTAGGTCCCTCCCGGCTATAACCTTGCATTTTTAAAAATTTCATCTTTCAGAAGAGATTACTCAGCAACCAATTCAGCTATTCGTAATGTTAGAACGTAAATTTAAATGATTTAATGTAAAATCTTATAGATGTACCCACATTTTGCTTTTGATACAGTAACTAGAGTAAACAGATTGATTACCGGCAGGTATCAAAATTGTAAAAAAATGGCCTATTTACACCATTGGCGGGATTTTTTATTTCTTAATATTTAACGATTTTATTCATCTCGAATGACGCCTTTCACTTGCAGGTAATCCCATCTACGTGAAGAGCTACGTCCCCTACCAGACCCACCAGACCCATCAGGGCCACCAACCCGACTCGAACGGTAGCTGGAAGCCATGCTACTGCAACGTCTACCAACAACCCTGGGACCGCGCCCCATCGAACCCTGTTCTACCGACGCCCACCCACCGGCGAAAGGTCGACGACAAAGTTGACATCCCCTACAAACAGCATCGAGACTAGTGAAATGCACATTTCGTCGGTCCTTCAACCTGTTGTTTGTACTGATAGCGCGTAATCGCTTCCGGTCCACTTTGTACATATATCATCAAATACATCTACAGTTATTAATTGCCAATAAATCATCTTCTGTTCTTGATAGAATGTTATCACTCCTATTACTAAAGGTCTCAGTTCACAAAAGGGTACAGCTATTCAAATGACTGTGCTTTAATCTGCGGCGCATTTTTTTCCCCATTCTTCTAGGCGGCTTCACAGCACTTCTAGTATGGGGATCGTCTCCACCGAACGACTGAGCTCATTGATAACGATCGGTCGAAACACGAATGAGTGACAACTGTTTACAAAACATTGATTGGCCTTCGGTAGGAGGCAAGTTCGACTAGAATCCAAACAGTCCGCTTCAAGCTACCGACCGGAAAGAGAGTGTGCTTACCTAAGCGTATTTGAAATTGTTTTACTTTTGTATTATTCTAAGCTGGACGCCGCAGTGATGAAGTTTACGCTTTGTTTTGTATTGTTGGTGGTTTTGGTAATGGAATCCCAAGCAGGTAACATATATCTAACCAAGCTCCATGGTGAGTGGGTTTAGGTTGAGTTTCAAGAATGTCTAATTCCACAGCACCGCAGATGGATTTGCGCGAACATGGCACCAACCCAGCAGCCCAAATGGATTCGAGCGATACGTTAATGGTCGGCTGTGATCATCCACCGGCGGTAGTAGTGACCAAGGATGGAGAACCGGTCATGTTTCCGAAACATCCTCGACAGATGTTATCCGCCGAGGAGTCGCCGTAATTGAACGATCTTAAATGCGTATATTTCCAGTTCTTTGGTTAAGACCAGATTCTTCCTAATATATTATAGTTTTTTTGTATGTATGTGACAGTGGGTTTATCATTCTCGGGCGGTGCAATGGCATCATCGAGATCATCCGGTGAAAGAAAGCTACTTCTGGCGTACTGAAATCGATAATAAGTCTTTAAGTGATGTCACTCAAATTTACGCAAAACAGGCACTAACCATTTCAACATTTGTAAGTTCGTAACTTTCCTTTTCTGTTGGTGGATCTTGATAGAAGATATGCTGGTGCTCGGAAGTTGTTGCAACTTCTGTTGTTGAATACAGCGGGGCGATCCACAGAAAGTTGGAAACCTTCTCATTCACTCCATTCAGGAACTCTCGTTTCCGCTCGTATACCTTTTCACCAAACTGGTGAACTTTGCTAAAATGAAAAAAAAAACTCTGTGAAATTCGCAGCACTCATAAATCCTTGTAAGTATTTTACTCTAGCAGAGCTGATCGGGTAGTTGTTTCGACGTCGTTTTGTTGTTTTCCACCGAAAAGCCATCCCGTGAATGGAGCTGAAAACAAGTTAGTGTTTTGTATCATCTTTCAATATTTATATCCTTTCAATAGTGGTTCTCACCTGCTGCCACAATCGTTGATGCGTAAACAAATGTTCCAATAAATATCAACAGGTTCATCGCAATTTTAGCTCTTCTAATGATCTCTCGCCAAAGTAAATCCTCTTCCAATGAATGCTAGAACAATTTAATCGCTGAGTTCAGTCCACATGCGACCTATATAATTTCCAACGGGCGTGATAGCCGTAATTGAGAACGACGTGTTTGTGTACAGAAAACGTCAAGCTCAAGGAACTGCAAAAATTAACGTTATCATGCATAATTGGCTGTATACTGCTCCTTGCGTCAGTCCTTGGCATTGTGACGTTGGCTGTTTGTAAGAAATATTTTCCTTAATCCATTTTGATAGTAGAACTGCTATCAATGAAAATCACACTATTATGCAATACCAAGCGATCAGACTCAGGAAGGTATGGTGTGTGTAGCATCCTTTAATGAATGATTTAAAAAGTAAGGTTTTGCAATTGAAGTGGTTTGAGAATTTACTAGGAATGGCAATTCGGTTAGTAGGGATTTTGATCTAATCACAACCCGCGCTTCAACGCTCTTTTTCTGACGGATTTTTATAAAAATATAAGGTTTCTACTAAAGATGACTTCTGAATTTATTAACCTTTCCATACACACTAAGATTATTTTACCGAAATCTGTGAAATTTTACCGAAATCTCAACAGCTGAACGTTCGGTTAACAGTTCGTTGATTTTTAACAGATTCTCTGTGATTTTTCACAGATATTCGTTGAAAAATTACAGGAAAACTGTGAAAAATCACCGAACTGTTCACCGAACGTTCAGCTGTTGAGATTTTGGTAAAATTTCACAGATTTCGGTAAAAGAATCTTAGTGTGTACGTACCATTAGATTTGATAAAGAAACACAAATTATGAAGATAGGTATTGTTAAAAATCTTACTCTGCTTCTTGATTCCAATTCCGTCATACTAGGTTTAATTCCGTACAAACGCAATGAAACGCCATTGGATTTTCTTCGTCATAGGTAGAGGTAAGAGAGGCAAAGTAAGCAGGTGGGGCATAATGAGCATCCCGCACTTCAATCCCAAACCTCTAATTGTTCGAAACTAATGAATTGTTAGTAGCTTCAATATTACCATTGCAATGATTATTGACCTATCAGTTTGTTTCGAACCATAAGAAATCCAAGGCTACAGCACAAGAAGCTCATTATGCCCCTTCTTCCCCTAGATAGGAAGGTAGGAAAAAGTGATTTGCTAGGAACGCTTCATTTGGTTTTAAGAACAATGGGTGTACATATACATACTTTGTGATCTTATAGGCTTTGTTTTGTAGCTGTAGTTTACTACTCGATAGAACGGAAATAGGCGATTACGACAAAGTAGAGCTCTACCCTGTTACTAAATTTTAATAGTTATCAAAAAATAACAGCGGCGCCGGTGGTGTAGTAGTAAACGTGATTGTCGGTGCCGTCGGGATTTTCTGAGGCATAAAATCTCTGATCACGCCTTCCTTCGGAAGTAAAGTCATTGGTCCCCGGTTCATGAGTTGATGGGTCGATAGGTAGGGTTCAGGTATGGGATCTGTTTTTCTGGCGTCAGTAGCATTGGTACTCAGTACGGAAAACAAGATCGACGGAAAATATATCAAAGAAAAAAAATCAAAAAATAATGCAAAGGATGTACAGTTTACAATTTAATCACATAGAAATATGCAAAATCACTGTTAATTTTGATCAGTCCGGGAACCCCACCGGCTCCATCATGATATTGTTTTACAGTTATTGAAATATAGTTTTTTCAAAAAATGCCTGCTGTTCCCTGTTGAATTATTCTCAGCAATATTTGCTATCACTTACGCGTGATCCACGGTAGCAAGAAGAATCTCCTTCGAATGATAAAAATGTTCCAACCCGATACAGAACAAGTCAATCATACGAGGGGATGTTCCAATGAGCCCACCTTCAATTCACGAAATGTTAACAGCAGGGAGTTGGCAATTCCACTATCCCCATCCAAATCACGACAATTAGGTGTCCAGACACTAGATGCCATCCCTACCCAATTAATTTATATGTTTACATCAAAATATGTAGAATATTAGATTAAAATACTACCCATGATTTTCTGCGATTCAGTGATGAATTCTGAACTTTTCCCTTGGTGAACTTCGTGAAATATCGCAAACTTTTCCAACCCTGCTGCGATTAAACGATCGAGCATCTCAAAACCATAACATAACTCTATGACAAAATATGATTAAGTTTTCGCTTGGTTCATTCCAACAGAGATACGCGATAATTCGTATAGTTTCTGCGGTTGATGATTAATTTTAAATATACGAATGGTACTGCCACTACTCTTACGACGACAACAACAGCGAATTTGGAACTTATCATTTGTCTAGGATATAACACCTTTGGCCGGCACCTCCGTAGGATCTTCATGTCCACCATCTGTCACTGCAAACATATTTAATAGCAATTACCTGTGTTGTGATACTGCCTTCAACGAAAACAAATTTTCTTGTATTACCATGGTCATATGGGAGGAGGCTCGCGTCTAAAGTTGCTGGTCCACCGAGCACTCGGAAGGAGCGGTCCGAACATCAATGTAGAGATTAGTATGAACATTCCCGCCCGGATTGATGAATAGACTATTACATCGGTAAAGGTCTCAAATGTACCATCCGCCTTTGTACTGAAGGCTTCAAGCTGATGGTTCCAACGATGAAACACTACAAGGCCTTTGACACGTTGCTGAAGAAAGAAAACGTGGAGTACTTCTTTAACGATATTGAGGCCAGCAAGCCGTTCAAGGTGGCCCTGTTTGGACTTCTGGACATGACAACCGACTCACTGTCGGACTCAAGACAGTCCATGTTTTCAAGATAACACTCGCTAGTATCGTGACCAGTTGTATCTGGTCCACCTTGAGAAAAATTCAACGTGCCTCAGATCTCAGGATCTGCAGAATATTCGAGCCCTGTTCCACATCGTGGCGAATTGACGTAACCCAATGCTCCAACTGCCTCATGTTCGGGCATGGCATGAAAAATCGCCATATGGCCTACCGTTGCAACGATTGTGGCAAGCAGCACGCGCTCGATACTTACCTTACCAATCAGGCTAAGGCCTTGTTGTCCTCTGCTGTCCAAAGAAGTCGTCTCCACTCTACTAGATCCATGGCCACACTTCACCAGCCTCGTAGTCTGCGAAGGGTCCGCAGGTCGCCTTCTTACGTGGTTGAAGTTCGTCATAGATTAACCTATCGCAGCCCGGGAAGCCGAGCGATATGCTGTTCCATGTTCCGAGTTTCCAATCGTAGTCCTTATTTCGTCACGTAGGTCTGTGGGCCTGCCCCAACCCCATGTCTCGCCGGGGGACCATCGTGCACAGCTCTGTTTAGAGTTCCACGCTGGCACTAGGACGGTAATCAGCCGCTCCTAACATGGAGAACAGACGCCGTTTTGAGCCGCACCTCCATGGTGAACAGACGCTCGGGTTTTGGTGAAGCATTTCCTCTATCACCGTACTATAGTTACCGCGCCAGTGTTCGCGTCGCACCTCTTCACTTTGCTATTGCCGGACTGGCAACATTGCCCAGGCTACGCCACCCAGCTGTGTCCATGTTTCAGCTGGTAGTCTTTTGTTATCATATGACTCGGGGAGGCGTTAAGTAGGAACTTGTGAGGACCAAGGCTAGGTATTCTGCTCCTTCCATGTTGTCAACTCACCATTTTGTAGCCCGCTCGATGCCTGTGAAATAATGGAGAACACCGACCCAACATGCGACAATTGTGAAGCTGCTCATCGGGCAACTAGCAAGTAGTGCCCAAAACGTGCGGAGTTCATTGCAATCCGGAAAAGGTCCTCCACGCAGAACCAACCAGGCCGCAAAAGGGTACCGGAGAACAATGGGCAGAACTTTCCTGCCATCCATCAACGGCGTCAAATTTCGGTGCTTCCGCCGCTTCCAATCAGCAACCGTCTTGCTGTTGCTGCTGCTGTATCAGTCTCGTCAACTGCTGGGGTCTCTAATCCTTTGGCATACACGAATAGCCAAATGTATGTGGCAACCGTTGCATCCCACAGGACCTACCCCCTACGGGACTATCCAGGCGTCAGGATGATGCTCCATCATCGAACGAAAACACAGCTGCTCTGTTCACAGCGGAGCAACTGATCCCCGTATTCACCCAGCTTGCCACACGTTTGCGCAGTTGCAAAACCCGTTACGACCAGATTTACACTCTGGGCCTTGCCGTCATATAGTATGGCCTCTGAAGTGTTGAAGCTAGTCAACTCGAACGCTTGCTCGCTCAAGCGCAAGAACATCGAGTTTGTTGAGTTTCTCAATGAAAGAAACATCGACATTGCCGTAATAACTGAACCCACCTGAAGGCCGAAATTAAGGTCTACCTTCCCGATTTCCTGCTCTTGAGGCAAGATCGAACCAGTTCTGGGGGAGGAGGAGTGGCCATCGCCCTAAGGAGAAACATCTGCTGTCGGCTTCTACTGAGCTTTCAGCTGAAGACCATCGAAGTTTCAACTCCTGTCGGCCCTATCACCATCGTTGCGGCTTACTGCCCCAAACAAGTTAACATCAGAGACGGATCGGCAGCAGACCTGCGACAAAATATTGTCAACCTAACACGACGGCGGGAACATTTCATCATCGCTGGTGACCTGAACACCAAACATCAAGCTTGGGGTAACAGTCGGTGCAATCAAAACGGCACCATCCTGAACAACGACCTGCAGGAAGCGCAGTACAACATCTTTAGTCCGGACACTCCCACCCGGTTTAGTCGATCTGGTGCTCACATCTCACAGCCGGTTGTCTACCAAGTACTCAGTTCGGACCACTACCCGGTGATGGCCGAAGTTGGTTCCTCGGTGAACCGATTCGTAGCTTCCCGGCGCGACTACCATCGTGTCAACTGGGTTCAAAAAACAACACTGCGTCTACACAACCATCGACTACGATGTCCAACCGGAAACATCCGAAGATGTTGACCGGTGTCTACATACCATCGAGGAGGTGATTTCCCGGGCCAGGGAACAACACGTGCCAGTATCCAAACAGTTGATCAACACTATGAACCTTGACAGCTATACTAAAGACCTCATTAGACACCACCTTGAAGACCAATTGTAATCAATAAACAAAGATCATTCAGGCCAGGATGGTGGATCTCAGAAATAACGATTTTGCCAGATCAGTTCTTTCCCAGATTGTGCAAAGCCTTTCTGGAAGTTAACCAGATTCTTTAAAAATAAGTTGATAACTCTTGTTGAGAAGGCTGCTGTGATTGGCCAACACATCGTCAGCTCCCATAATCTCGAACAAAATATGATTGGCCCACATGAGGCTGTGGTTGCCGAAAACGCAGCCAACCTACATTTGATTCCCAACAACTTTCCTGAAGTTTCAGAAATTTTAACTAACGACCTATAATCCTGTTGGCCTATATCAAATCCTTCAAAAACATGAAGGCCCCAGGTTTCAATAACATATTGAATGTAGAGCTTTAGATTCTATGATTACCTGGCACTGAGTGCCTCAGGGTTGGCTACTTCCCCTCGTATTGTAAGTTAGCTAAAGTCATACCTATCCGTAAACCTGGGAAGGATCCTTCCTCTTTTTCCAGCTACAAACCTATCAGCCTTCTCTCAGGGTTATCAAAACTTATTGAACAAGCAATTTACCTGAGTGTTCTAACATCTGCCGATGAAAATAACATCATATTCGAGCAGCAGTTTGGTTTTCAACAAAGGTCGGTCGACTGCTCACCAACTCACTCGAGTAAGCAATATTCTCAGGCGGAACAAGTCGGTATCTGAGACATCTGCCATGGCATTCCAAGTCTCTCTCAATGGCATCACTTCTGATGCCTTTAACATTGGTGTGGACGTTCCGCAAGGAAGTATCCTTGGGCCCATCCTCTTCAACTTGTTCACCTCCAACATTCCGGCTCTCCCAGATGGTGGAACGTTGTTTCTGTTTCCAAATGACACATCCATCGAACTCTTACTGCCAAACTTCAGAGAGGCTTGGATGTCCTGTCTGAGTATTGAAACAATTGGAAGAACCATATCAACACGGCAAAGACCCAGGTCATCATATTGCCACATTCCTAATCACCAATATTTGTTCCGTCTGAAAATAATAAGATATGCTTAAACGGCTCAGTGGTGGAATGGTCCAAAGAAGTTGTGTACCTCGGACTAACACTAGACAGCAAGCTTCCCAACAAACAACTTGTGCTGATTAAGAGCTGAATAAGCTATTTTTTAGCTGAAGAAGCATATTTTTGCTTGAATAAGCTCTTATTCCGCTTACAATGTTTGTTGGCTTCTTTTCAGGGAGCACATTGACAAACCTAACACCAAGTGAAACATCTTGATAAGATCACTGTATCCGCTTATCAATAGGAAGTCCACCTTATCCCTGAAAAATAACCTTGCTGTCTATAGACAACTAATCCTACCTGTTATTGAGTATGGTATGCCCATCTAGGAGAGTTGTTCCAAATGCCATAATCTTAAACTGCAAAGGATCCAGACAAAGTGTGATGTTGCAATCATTGCAGAGCCGTATCGAGATCCTCCAGCTAACGGTAACTGGGTGGCGGATAGAGCAGAAATCGCTGCTATATATGCTAGCTATGGGTTTATACCCCATGCAAGAAGAAGAAGATGCAAGCTCATACGAAGGATTCGCGATTGCCAAAATCAACGGAATCTTCGTATGCAGTTGCAACGCCCTCCAAGCAAGACAATGGAGTAGTTCATCGGAGGAGACTCAAATGCTGTTAAAGAATCTCACGTTCCCCGGTTGGGTGCTGGCTAGGAATGTTCTGTGCTTACTCACGTCCTTAAATTTCCTCCAACATTCGATGGCAACAAAAATGTTTCTTTGTGTGATTTCAAATTTGGAAATAGAAAAAAAGCAACATTTGAGTGAACTGGAAAACGTATGGTTGAAACATAAATGTCATCGATTAATGCGTACAAATTTTCCCAAAAAATAATTCCAGTAGAATGAAAAAGGACAATAATCTACAAATAAAAACTTCAATATATTTTTTTCAGTCAACGATTCTTAACACCAAATCTACAAACTAAACCTAATCGTAACAACAAATTTACGGCGTATGCAAGCTGTACGTGCTAACCTTTCCATCATCCTCCAACGTAGTGGTAGCCGCCTTGTATCCAGTCTTCTGACCGTTGATGTTATGCTGCTCGCTTTCTCCCGTCGACAACGAGCTGTACGACTTAATCTTTCCGTCATCACCAAACTGAAAAGGCAAAGTGATGTGTGAGTTTCAAAAGTTCCTAAACATTAATATTTAACTATACCTTCTGCCCTGCGGCCCACTTGGAACTGCTGGACCATGACTTTGTTCGCTTGAAACCAGTTCCAAATCCTCCCCCAACGTCTGTGCTAACATCATCGTTAGCTCCGCTGAACCGATCCTCCATGTCGACTGCCGTACTACCGGAAACTGGTCCATTGTAGGCGTTTTTAGCCTGCAGTCTGGCCAGCCGTTCGGATTCACTCATAAGCCCTCCGAGATTATTTTTGCTGTTTAACTCAATACCCACACTACCAAATCGCTGCCCCAGAGCATCGTTGGTAATAGGATAGGGACTGTATCCTCCGGTTCTTTGTTGATTGTAAGCGTTCTGCGATTCGGAAGCAGAGTAGCGTGATCCGTGCGAACCGGCCGTTGCAGCTGGGTAGTAGGAACCAGAATTGGAAGCATGCTGTTGAGCAGCGGAGTACTGCGAAGATGATGACGCACTGTTGTGACGTTGGTTGTGGGATTCGGATGAAGCTGCTGAAACAAGTGGTGCGTAGGAAGTTCCAGATTGGCTGCTGTGTTCATTTTGAGCGGAATACTTGGAAGCCGTTGAACCGGTGTTTACAGCGACTGGGAAGTAGCTGCTTCCTTTTCGACTGTACTCTTCGTGACGCTCTGCTTCAACGCGATTGGCAGAAGAGGTAGCTACGGGAGCTACGACAACTCCGACTGTGGATCCACTATCCGAATCACGGCTGTGTGATTCCTGGGATTGCTGAGTTGCTGCCACGTGGTTGGTGTAGATAGGTTGGTAGCTGGGTCGGACGTACTGCACGTAAGATGTTGAACCGGGGTTAACCGTAATTGGAATGTAGCTGCTTCCTTTCCGACTGTACTCTTCATGACGCTCTTCATTTTCGAGACGATTGGCAGAAGAGGTGACTACGGGAGCTACGAAAACTCCAACCGTGGATCCACTATCCGAGGCATGGCTTTGTGACTGCTGCGATGCTGCCAGGTGGTTGCTATATACGGGTTGGTAGGTGGGTCGTACATACTGAGAGTGAGACCGTTGTTGATTGGAAAGAGAAGAGTGATCGGAAGAAACGCCGTACACAGGTTGACCGGCATGGGCAATGTAGGTTTGTTGGTTGTCAGCAGCGGAATACTGATTAGAAGTGCTTCGAACCGGGTACACCACTGGGACCGGAACACGGTAGGTATTGCCCTCGCTGTTGGAGAACCGTGCGGAGCTATCGAATCCCGATGAGCTGACTGGAGCGTAAATAGGCACAGGAACGGGCTGCCGGTAGACAACATAGGTGTTCGATGGAACGTATCTTTGTTGATTTTCCAGTCTGCTAGCGGAAGCGGCAACATACTTGGAAGCGACATCTCCAGAAGAGGTGTAAACGGGTTGAGCAACGCCAGATGCTTGTCGTTCCGATGAGGCAGTGTAACTGGATCTAGTGCGGTAAGCATTGTTGGAATCAACCGGAACGGTGTAAACACCTGCATTGCTGTTTCGACTGGCACTGGCGTACTGACTACTTTGAGAGGACTCCTGACCGATTGGATAGGCAGAGGCAACAATTGGCTGTACGACAGTTGTTTCACTGGAGGCACCAAACTTTGATTTTGTTTTCACACCTTCCGCAGCGCTGATATAGTTCACTGGTTGGGCGGCATTTACACTGGAAGCACTATGACGCTGAGCAGAGCTGGCGTAACTGGATTTTGAGCTTCCGATCAGTGGGTAGACTGGGACAGCACCGGTGGCGGATTCCTGATGGGAATTGGCCTGATACTTTGAGCTACTAGAGCTGGATCCCGCTGAGCCTGCGTTGAATCTGACGGTTCCTTCACCGAGGGTTTCAGCGTCACTGTTGTCGGAAAACCTAAAAGTTTGTTATACTTGGTGACTTATTGAAAAGAAGAATCCACCTACCCTGAGCTACTGTAACAGATTGCACTTCCACATGGATCTGTTCCAGCTCCTGCGCCAATTCGAGTAAGTCGTTCTGCTGCCCCCTTTCGTGCGGCATTTACCGAGGCTTCATGCTGAGAGAAGTGCCTGAAATAATCGTTTTCGGTGGTGAATTAGACCAGTTGTCAAGCCAACAACGATGCAGAAATATTCTCAAATAGCTGTACTTACACTCCCTGAATACCGTTCAAACTGGAAGAGTGGAAGACCAATCCAGGGGCAATGCAGGCAAAGGTCGAAGATGAAAATGTATCATGCATTAAATAGAGCCACAGCAGCAAGTGAACAAAAAGAGAGCGTAAGTTAATTGCACCGAGCTTTAAAGTTGATAAGGTAATGCTATTTATAGAAAAGTTAAGTTCATTCATATCACTTCTTACTTTCTGTTCATGTTGAATCCCGTGCCTTCGTCCCATGTTGACAAATCTGAAATGTGAAGAGAATGTGGTTGACTTTTCAGTTCAATCGTACTCATCTGCGGAAATTTGATTTTAATTAACCACGTCAACCGAGCACATGAGTTGTGTTGTGAACAACTGCGCTTCCAACAAAAACAATTCAAGCAAAACATACAAACAACTCGTGCTTTTCATACCTTCATACATTTTGAATATATAAGCAACAAATGCTTTTCTTCTACGCTCATCATTGAAGTAACGAAGCTAAAGTTCAGATCCAATCGGAAAACATGAACTATCTACTGTTGATCACCCCCATCACCCTAGTATTAGCGCAAGTCCCACCTTGAAAACATTTTCCGCAACTGAGCAGGAATGCTCCGTTTACTGTCAGCTGTCTAAGGAAACCCTACAGAGATACTCTAATCATGGCTACCCGGACGAGTTCAGCTGCCGCAAGATGATCAACTGTATTCTCATCGACCTTCACGCTTGGGACGACGTCACTGGCATCAAAGACAACGTCATCACCAACTTCTTCGAGCCACCCGAGGTGGATGCCGACTACCGTGATCGTACCCATGAATGTCTAAGCACCACCGTCCCCAAACAGTGCGAAGGGGAACCATTTGAGTGCCCATACCGCTCGTTTCAGTGCTACTACTAACGAAACAATTCATTCCCTACTATCACACCGATCGAATCAAGCATCTCACAGAATCGTTGTCCATCGTGAACACGTCCTGCCGTGCCCTGAAAGACTTCAGCCTAGGTCACGGATTCAACCAGAAAGAACTTGCAGCCTCCCTCTTCACGTTGGCCGTTCGTACTGGGTTCTACGATGTCCAACATGGACCTTACATCGATCGACTGTACACCCAATTCGGTACGCCAGCTCTTCTGTCCGACTGCACCCGCCAGTGTGTCTTGTCCGTCCAGCAGCAGTACCACGAGGAACCTGAACGAACTTTTCAGATATTTCATCAATGCGTGGAAAATGCGATAAGCACGGATGCGTTATATGAACAGACCGCTAGACTAGTGTTGGCATCGAACAACTCGTATTGCAATGTATGTGAGCCTTCTGCACTATGCTCCAGTACTTAGTTGGACTTTCGACGAATCGTAACGCCGGCTGCAGCGGAAAAGTGTAAGCGACGTTATAATTATGGATCGATTTGAATAAACAGAACATACATTTTGTGAAATTCAATTTTAATTAATACTGTCTAAAGTCCTCTATCAGCTCCATGATAAGATGTTAAGTAAAGCTTCCGACGATAAGTACAATTTTATTAGGCCGTTGGAAGCCAGTAAGACGCTGTTTGAGCCACACCTCCCTGGTGGACAGTCCTGCATAAGGGGTTAGGCCCAGGGAAGTGGCACCCCTATCTCTACTAATAACAAGTAGCCGTAGCGAGCATAACCGCGGGCCCACGCTTGGGCCTAGCTTTGATTGCTTTGTTTTAACATTTTTATGCTGCCTACGAAAAGATGGCTGCGTGCCAGTCCCTTGGTTAGGCAGCTGTAGCGGGTTCAAAAAATGGATTTTTGTTAGGTCTTAAATGATAGTTTAGAGAATATGGGACAATTGGTTTTATACACGGGAACATTTTCTTTCGCATTATCTTGGGGCGGAGACTAGGGGACTACCTGTGCGCTCCCGGCATGAAATTTGTCTTTAATCGCGTTTTTCTCGAAACCATGTTTTTTAAGTCGGGCGGAAACGAAAGTCATATTGCTAATAGATTAATCGACTGAATTGTTTTGTAGCTTGTTCTACATACCTTTTTTTTTAGTGAAGTACCTGCATTTTTATCATTATCTTTAAAAGTGATTTTTTGTTATTAACGATTATATTTGATATTTTTGCTTGAATATCAGATCACTTTTTTCAAACGCTCGCCATTTTGTCAAAAATCAATATTTTTACAATCGGCCAGGTACTTTACTAGTTTAAACATGCTAGTTTATGAATCTTTTATCCATTTTGTTCTAGGACTACCTCCGGGTGCAAATCGTTTCCGCCCGCAATCCGCTTCACGCCGGGGATTCCAACTCTTAGACGACTGGATCACTAGCTCAACCAGCTCAACCAATTAGCACGAATTTCAGGTGCTCCTGGAATATCATGCTGGTAGATTATAACGCCCTACTTACATTATTCATTGTGCTGTGCTAACATGTAGCCAGCATAATGTAAACAGGGTATCAGCATCTACCAGCATGAGATTTCAGTAACAGCTGAAATTCGTGCTAGTTGTTTGTGCTGGTTGAGCTACCCAAGCAACACCATTTGTTGTTCAGCGAGTAACAAAACCATAGCGTGACTAAATGAAGGCAAAATTGGACACCGCATCGCATATAAAACTTAATTGTTCCTTAAAAAGTGCAGAAGGTGGAGTCTATTTGCAACTTATGTTTCCTTTGATCGATTATAATATAACAAGGGCACACACTATACAATAATTAGTGTATGGGATCGATAGTTCGTCGATCAAACACTCAGGATTCACAAACTTCCAGTTTATAACGCTCTGGCTGAACGAACAACAAAGACTAAACTTATTATTTTTGATCAGGCGGAGAGAAACCTGCTCTGGAAGTGTGAATCCTATATGGGAACAGTTAGGAACTGGACTGGTGAAATCTAGATCATTTTTTCCGGTAAATTCAATACAATATTATATAATTACCATTTGCACCATCGTAAGAATAGAAAATCGAAGTGATTTCACTGCGTCGATTATACAAACCGTAAGGCCGCTGCCATACCGTTGCGGAAAGGGAAGCATTGCGTGGCGCTTCGCTTCTTTTCATCATCATCAAGTCATCACTCACTCATCTTCAAAAACAAAATATTTTGTGATTATAATACAAAGCCTTCTATCGCAATTCCGATAAAGTACAAATCTAAGCCTTAACCGAAACAACATTACACCACAGACAAACATACATAACACTCGCCATCACATTCTTCGCAAATAAGCCTTTAGTTGGGAATGTGCTTGCATTTGTCATTGTGGCGCCACTGAAGCGTTAAACAAACCCCTGCATTTCGAACTTATCAGTGATGCCAGTTCTTTTTCAGCTCAATTTAGTATATGTCAGCTCTTGATAATGATAAGGGGACCAAGGGATCCCACTGGAGACATATTTCGCCAATTTCGCCAGCCCCTTTTTTGAAAATCTTTTCTATTATTCTACGTAGCCCATGCGCTTTTTCTGTGGTCTTATCAACCGATCAGCACTCGTATTTATTATTATGTACGGTCCTTATATTTGAAATGACGTTTCACATTCATCTGGTGATGACCGATTCTCATTCGAATAATCGATAAATCGATTGACGAACCGAAAAGTAAAATATTTGTAATGGGTTATATCATGCCTATATAAGCTTTAAATGCTCCAGAGGATCATCACCCATCGTTTCAAACATATGCTGAACTCTCATTGGTGAAGAAATGACAGCACAGCGAACAAAAAATAATCGAGTAATTAAAAAAATGAGACATCTTTGATTTTGGTGTGATTGTTTTGATCAAAATAAGCGCAAAATTCCATCTCCACCGAGGGGGCAGCAAAACCACAAAATTTACTTGCATACGGGGGGTATTCATTGGATGAAAGGGACTGTGAAAGAGTCATTCCGCTTGTTGTGTAATATTACGCTGTACGATGTACACAGAATTTGTGAACAAATCATTTTAATGGGTGTAATCAACCGGTCCGCACTCAGTTACCATGGGAACGTAATTTGTGATTAGCCCGGTCCCTTCCAAATTGTATCATTATTTATGTACGGCCTTAAATTTGATATGACGTTTCACATTCATCTAGTGATGGCCGATTTTCATTCGAATAATCGATAAATCGATTAACGAACCGAAAAGTAAAATATTTGTAATCGGTTATATCATATAACTTTTCCAGAGGATCATCACCCATCGTTTCAAACATATGCTGCACTATCATTGGTGGAAAAATGACAGCATAGCGAACAAAAAATAATGGATTAGATGTTAATCGAATAATTTAAAAAATCTGATTTTGGTGTGATTGTTTTGATAAATAAGAGCGCAAAATTTCATCTCTACCGAAGGGGCAGCAAAACCACAAAATTACCTTGCATACGAGGGGGGGGGGTCATTGGATGAAAGGGACCGTGAAAGAAGACACTAAAATAGAAAGTTTTTCTTCCGACTGTTTCAGCTTAGTATCAACTTTAAGTAACTGGTGTTCAATACATCATGAATAATATTGATTGATACATATTGTTTGCTTTGTACACATTAAAGTGATGAGCGGTGGTAGAAAGGGCACTCACGTTTAAAAACTTGTTTCCAGCAAAAAAAAATCACACTTTACAATCAAAACAAATCTCTTAAAAAGGCTGAGCTTCTGTGAATTTCTCCTACGGATCCGTATTTCTGCAGAATTCAATCAATTCTATAGATCTACAGAAAATTTCGTAGAACCGACATCACTGATTTCCATCTGTTTTGTTTTTATTCAACACAGCTGACTCGTTGACAGAACGAGGGAAAAACAACTATTGAAAAAAATGCATGAACGAGGGATGCCCCGGTTGCTAAACAATGCTTCGGAATGTGCATGATAGAGGGTGCTAGTGTGCATACAAAATACGCTTAACGGTATATTTTGAAGAATTTTCTACTAAGACATATGTCGACCTTATTGAGTTCTTCAACAGTAAATCAAAACGCTCTCACATAACCATAACCAAGTGCAAAATTGTGAACCGATTTAATTTTTTAATATTTGTAATATTTGGGAACATTTCGCATTATAGCAACATAAATTTGGGCGATAGTGTACACACTACTAAAAAGTCATGTAAATTTCGGTTCCCTGAGACCGACACATGTAAGCGGGCCTTTTGACATAAGAATCAGTTGAAAGAAACGTGGAAATCAATTCTCTTCGTCGACTAGCTGATGTTTCGGTTTGAGAACACTTAATTTTACATAAAATGTTTGTTTACGTTCTATGATTTACGTCCAA